AATTTTTTAAGGATCTCAGGTATTATCATAAAACACCCTTTTTTGAGCCTATTCATATGTCTTGCGATGCTGAAGAACCTTCTGGTCCTATTCAGGTCCGTGTTGGCGTCGATCGCCGCAATTTCGCCTACGTTGACTTCACCAAGCACCGTCTTCACGAGGGGAAACCAGAAGTAATTATTACTGGTTTGGGACGCGCCATTTCTGATGCGGTTGCCGTAGTGGAAATATTGAAGAACCAAGGCCTCGTCACTGTGAAGAAAATTACTACTTCACGGGGCAATGTTAAATCTTCATCCACGTCAGTAATTGATAAGATTGAAATCTTGGTCGTGAAATCGAAGGAATTTGACAGTATTTACGAAGAACAACAAAAAAGAAAAGATGAAAGTGCTGAAAAAGGTCAGTAAATGTTTTTATTACATACATATAAATGATGTGTGCTAAAGGATAAAAAAAGAAAAAACGAGAGAAGCGTTTATTTAAGGTCTAGGGGAAAATAATACCTGCGCGGATTGAAAGGATGGCTTTCTGGAACTTTTTTATTTTTCTTTTTTCTTTTTTTCTTCTTCGTGTACGGAATTCCTTGCCAGGCGAATTATCTTTTTTCTTTTTTTTTTTTTGTTAAAACTTTTAAAGTATTGGGCATCTATATTTTCTATTTTTTTTTTTTATTCTTAAGAAAAACAAGAATTAGCAATCAGAAGAAAAGAAAAAAAAAAAAAAAAAGAAAGAATCCACTCCACAGCCACCTGAAATGTCTGCCGAAAACGCTGAGCGACCCAAGAACGCGGTTCGTGTGGGATTTCATGGCTCCAAGTTCCTCTACGTCGACATTACCAAGCATTTGCTACATGATGGTGAAAAAGAGGTGAGCATCTCCGCTCTTGGAAAGGCTATTAATGAGGCCGTTTCTGTTGTGGAAATGCTAAAGGACCAGCAGATGGTTCTTGTGAAGAAAATCAGTACTTCCCGAGGAGGTGGTGAGGGTGCGAGGAACAACACTGTCGACAAGATTGAAATTGTTGTCACAAAGGCGCCTGGGTTCAACGAAAAATACGAAGAACAACAGAAGGTGCGCGAGGCAAAGAAACTCGAGAAAGGAAATGAAAATGTCGCTAAGTGAGAGGCTTGCTGGTGATTGACTTTTTTTAAATTATTTTTACTAGTCTCCTAGCCATTTGTTTTTTGTTGACAAGGAAACAAAGCTTGAAATTAAGGGAAGGGGCAGCTATAGGAAATACAATGCAACTCAAAGGATTAGAAGTTGAATTGCCCTTGGTTGAAATATTAATAATGAATGGATTTTTTTACAATATTATAATCCTATTTTATTTTTATTATTTTTATTTATTTATTTATTTGCTTATTTATTTTTCTATTTTTTTGTTTATTATTGGAAGGGGTGCTGAAGATGGAAAACTATTTAATAGTTGAACTAATAGGCGAGGGATCGTTTGGCAAGGTTTATAAGGCGAGACGGAAGGGGACGGGCCAGGTTGTGGCGATGAAGTTCATCGTGAAAAAAGGTAAAAATGATAAGGAGCTCCTAAATCTTCGTAGTGAAATAGAAATTATGACAAAGCTTGATCATGATAATATAATTACTTTGTTTGAGGCATTTGAAACCCAACAAGAGTTTGTTGTGGTGATGGAATACGCCCAAGGGGAGCTGTTTGAAATTCTTGAAGACGACAAAAAGCTTCCTGAAGACGTTGTTCAACGTATTTCGAAGCAATTGGTCCAGGCACTTTATTATCTGCATTCTAATCGTATTATGCATCGGGACATGAAACCCCAGAACATTCTTATTGGCCAGAATGGCTCAGTTAAATTGGCTGATTTTGGTTTTGCTAGATCAATGAGTTATAACACCATGGTGCTTACAAGTATTAAGGGAACACCCCTTTATATGGCGCCGGAACTTGTCCAAGAACAACCATACAACCACTGTGCGGATTTGTGGTCCCTTGGATGTATTCTTTACCAGTTGTACTATGGGAAACCACCATTTTGCACAAATCATCTTTACAAACTAATTAATCAAATTGTCAATGATCCCGTCAAATTTGAAGAACCTATATCACCGGATTTCAAGTCCCTTTTAAAAGGTCTTTTGACAAAGTCCTTTTCGGCGAGATTGAATTGGCCTCATTTATTGAACCATCCTTTTGTTGCTTTTGGTGAGGAGGATGGAAAGTGGCAGAAGAAAATTAAAGAACACGAAATGGTAATGAAGGAACATATGGACCGACTGGAGTGCTTTCGACTCTGCGCTCAGCCAAGCAGATTTCAGCCCAACTCCTCAGGGCATACACCTCGCTCTACCGGGGTCTCGCGCCAGTCCTCCTTGGGTTCCAAGGAAAGTTGTTTATTTTCTGCTTCTTCGATAGAGATTATTTCTTCTTCAAAGAATTCACAGGAAATCATTGAAACATTCAAGGGGCTTGCGAAAGCAGCTGATACATTAACATCATCTCCTTCACAAAGTACTATCTTGCTGGAAAGAATTCCACAAATGGGTATTTTAGGACCCACACTAAGGCGGATCAACAATGGGCAAACGATAGATATAGTTCGCTATGCATTAGAATTCATTCGAATACTTGTGTTTCCCGAAAATGGATCTGTTTTTCCATTTCCATCACAGTATCCTTCGGAAACTATAATGAGCGCCTTGCAAAGTAGAAGTGAACTTCCACCATTTGATTTTCTTATACGACAGCAAGTAGCCTTGGAGCTCATGGAAAAACCCCAGGAGACACTTGATTTTATGATGAACGAATTCATTGAGAATCGGAAAAATCTTCGTGAGGATTGTGTTAAGGTAATTTTTCAATGTGTAAAATGGGGAACTGGGTTTGGAGCTGCATTGATCAAAATGAGGATTTTCCCCATTTTTTGGGCTTCGTTACTTGATTCCGTAAAAGAATCAACAGTAAGAAATGGAAGTCATTTTCAGTTTTACGCGGCAGTTGCATTTCACACAGTTTCGGCGTTGGTCCCGCATATAAAGTTGTCTTCTCCCGACCAAATAAATGCACATAAGGTTTCTGAGTTTGTGTCTACTGGATTGACAGCTGTTTGCTACTACGACCCGTCTGCAAGTGGTGATATTGCTGCGCTTAATTGTGCAGCAGCAGCAGCTTTATTGGTAGCCTTTGTGCACCGGGAGATGAAGGATACCATTGTTTTTGAACCAGACTCTATATTGATGGATGGCTTGTGTGCTATCGTAGAGGGTGTTCGTCGAATTTCGGATCAGCTTATGGTGTCACGTGCTCTTGGGACAAGTTATGGGTTTGCTGATTATGGTTTTTTAGACGGTGTGACGCATATGTTGTCGGTTGTTTTTTCGGACCCAAAGTCAATCGTGTATCAACAAAATTCGGATTCTTTAAATAGAAATTTTCTTGACAATGACAAGTGGGGGTCACTTCGTACAGTGATTGGTCTCCTCCGTGATAGCGATTCCAAGGTTGAATTGTCACCGAACGGCGTGTTGGCCGCACTTCGTTGTGTTCAGCAGGCTTTGCAGAACCAACAAGAAGGAATGCAATCAATGAGTCTTTTGATAGAGTCTGTAGAACCTTACTATGGAGATGGTGGCGGCCCTATTTCTGTAATTGCAATTGTTTGTCGTCAGTTAAGAAAAAACTATCTCAAGCAGCTTCGTTTGTGGCCGGAATATAGGGGAGGGGGAACTGTTGGGGTAAATGCCCATCTTACAATAGTTGTTCAGATTCTGTTGGTGACGTTTCAGCCTGCAAAGCAAGGTTCTAGATCGGATGATGATACTATTGCTGCTGTACAGCAAATTCTTTACAAGGAAGGGGTTATGGAAATGCTTATTGCTGCACTTGATTACACAGAAGTAGCGTTTTGGGGTTCACCATTTACGGTCATCATAAAGCTAGTTATGGGTTCACCATTATTTGCCAAGGCGTTTGTAGAAGGAGACGGTTTGCATCCCGAACGGATAAGGAAAGTCCTGGATTCAAGAAAGGCGAGTATTGGCCTTGTTTCGGACGGGCTTAACGTGCTTTCACAACTGGCTCGTATATCCAGGGATTTTTATCCGCCAATTCATAGCGCAAATTTGTATGAAAGCTTTCTAGATCTTATGCGAAACAGAGATGCCGGTATTCGGAGCAAGATGTGTAATCTCCTTGGAAATCTGTGCAAACATTCTCCATATTTTTACGAGCCCCTGGCAAAACACAAACTGATCGAGGCTCTTGTCGAGCGGTGTAGCGATGAGGATCCCACAACACAAAAGTTTGCAGCCTTTGCCGCCGGCAACGCAGCCTTCCACAACGATTTTCTCTATGAGATTCTTAGGCCATCGATCCCAGTCATTGTGAAACTCTTGTCTAGTAGTGATGAGAAGACAAGACAAAACGCTGCCGGTGCGGTCAGCAATTTTGTGCGAAATGGCGGCTCACTCACTTCTGCATTAATGGGGAACAGCGTTGTGGAGGCTCTTCTGCGGATCCTAAGGAAAGACAAGGTGGGACTAAGGAAAATAGCTCTTATTACTATAGGCTCTTTTTGTGCATATGAGGAGTGTAAAAAGAAGTTTTTGTGGTTGGGGTTGGAGGATGCTTTAACGCAGCTTGAACAGAGCGATGCAATTGAAGCCGAGCCTTCAATAGCAAAGTATGTTACGAGGATCAAGCAGCGAATCGGTTCATCGTGATATGTCTTTTTATGTAGCTTTGAAAGGAAACAGAAAATGGGGTAATAAGAACTTTCTGGTTTTTTTCTGCCGTTTTTTTTGTTGCTTTTTGCATACGTTCCTATATGTCTTGCTGTTTTTAACTCCCTTTATTGTTTCTTTTCTCACGATCCATGCTTAATGAACACACACGCACAAAAATTAATAATAGAAAAAAACATTTTTTTTTGCTCTTTTCTACGGTTTTTGCAGAGATTGGGGTGAGCATAAAAGGAACGGAGAGGCCAAGCAGGGAAAGAGAAGAAGGCAAACAAAAAGGAAAATGTCTGTTCGACCTCTTGTAGAAGATGTTGAGGAGATGTTTGGGAGAACAAAAGCGTACCTTATGAGCGCCAACAAGGATGGCGTCAGCGTCTATGATCAACTCACCCGATTGATGGAGCAGTTACTGGATGAGAACCCACATGACATTGCCGCTGACCCATCGAGATTTAACGAAATTTTTACCCTTTTGCAGCAAAGCAGCTTTGTGAATGGACAAAGTACCCCTGCGTGTAACGAGCCTTGTTCTGTCCCACCGTCTGAACTTGCGCGCCTTGCGGATAATGAACGCCTTTTTGATCGTCCGCCTCCTGAAACATTGACAACAATAGAACAGCCAGATCCATATACGACAGTTACGACAACACGGATAAAGCCACACACCGCTCCCCCATATGACTCTGTTGCTCAGCACAATCTTTACTGGGCCTGGGCAGGATGCGGTGTGACGGAAGAAGAAGCATTTTTACTGGATCGATCCATCACGATGCTGGCAATGGAAAAGAAGCTGAGAGATGTTCGCTTCTTTGGAAAAATTTTTGGCACAAAAGCTGACTACTACGTGGTTTCCAGTCAACGCTATGTTCAAGATGGAGAAAAAGTATACAAAGAAGTCAACACCATGCCTCGTCCTGCGCGACGCAAGTTGGAAGTACCTGTACAACCTGAGCCGGGCTTTGTTGGGGTAAATCGACTCTCATTTTGGGTAACATCTCATCCTGCTGCCGAATGGAAGTTGCTTCCAGATGTGACACCACAGCAAATCTTGGCAGGGAGGCGGATCAAGAGGCTGTTTACCGGTGATTTAAATGCGGCTGTTATCGCCAGCCCCCCGTTCGAATGGAATGAAGCTGTTTACCTT